AAATAAATAAATAAATAAATAAATAAAAATAAAAATCTCAAAGCAGCACCTGGTTGGCTCAGTTGGAAGAGCATGCAACTCTTGATCCTGGGGTCATGAGTTCAAGCCCCACATTAGGTGTAGAGATTACTTTAAATAAATAAATAAGGTAAAGTTAAATAAATAAATAAAAATAATCTCATAAATCATAGAAACTTAAATTTTTTTTCAGAAGATAGACTAAATGTCATACAAAAGCATTTTTTTTTTCTTTTTCAGGATGAAGTTCCTGATGGAATTAAGTCGGCAAGCTACAAGGTATGTACATACACTTACTAATGTGTCTAGTATCTTAACAAAAAACTCATAAAACTCATTTCCCCTGCCAGGCATGACCCTACTTCTCTGTTGTCCTTCACAGTAAAACCCATTAGGAGTCATTTATACTCAATGGCTCTAATTCCTTATTTTTTCTTTTGTTCAGCCTTTTATTATAGAAAACATGAGAGATAAATAAAGAGCTTCAGCAATTAGTGTATGGCCTATCTTGTTTCATCTGTACCTTGCACTCCATTTTCCCAATTATTTTTAAAGCCATTCACAGAAAAATCGCTCTGTTTACAAAAGTTTCATAGATATTTTTAAGATAAAAAAAATACTTACAAAAATATAACCACTGTCAGGGTTCAGATTTCTCTACTTGTTTCATAATAATTTGTTTGTTTGAAACAGGATTCAAACATATTTCACACATTGCGTTTGGTTCCTGTGTCTCTTAGGTCTCTTTCTCTCTCTTTTGTTTTTTTATAAATTAAAAAAAAATTTTATTTATTTATTTTGAGAGAGAGAGAGAGTGAGTGCGAGCTGGGGAGGAGCAGAGAGAGAGGGAGAGAGAGAATCCCAAGCAGGCTCCGTGCTCAGTGTGGAGCCCAATGTGAGGCTTGATCCTACGACCCTGGGATCATCACCTGAGTCGAAATCAAGAGTCAGACACTTAACTGACTGAGCTACCCAGGCACCTCCCAATCTCTTTTTTAAATAGTATTGATTTTAAAAGTATTTTTACCTTTATAAATAAAAGTATTGATTTTATAATACTTTTAGATTTACAGAAAAACTGTGATGATAATATAGTTCCCATATACCCCATACCAGTTTCATCTATAATTAACATCTTACATTATTATGATCCATTTGTTATAATTAATGAATCAATATTGATATCACTCAAGTCCATACTTTGTTCAGATTTCTACCTAATGTCCTTTTTCTGTCCAGGATCCCATCTAGGATACCGCATTATATTTAATAGTCATGTTTCCTTAGGCTTCTCTTAGCTGTGACAGGTTCTCAAACTTCCCTTGTTTTTGATAAGGTGTTTAGAGAAACACTTGTCAGGTATTTTGTAGAATGTCCATAAATTGGGATTTGTCTGATGTTTTTCTCATGATTACACTGGGGTTATGTGTTTTGGGGAGGAAGACTACAGAGTTAAAGTGCCATTTTCATCACATCGCATCAAGGGTGCATAGTATCAACATGACTTATTACTGTTAATGTTAACCTTGATCACCTGACTGACATAATTTTTGTCAGGTTTTCTCCACTGTAGATTTACTATTTTCTACCCTTTCCACACTGCATTCTTTGGAGGGAGCTCACTGTGCACAGCCCATACTTCAGGAGGGCTCTGTCTTCTTAAGGATATAAATTGGAATTTTCAGTATGGGAGATTTAGATCTCCCTCCATTTACTTATTTTTTCAATCGTGTATTTATATCATGAGATGTTTATTTTGTACTTTGGATTATAATCAGGTATGACTTTATTTTACTGTTCAAATCATTCTGTTCTGGCCATTGGGAGCTGTTTCAGTTGTTCCTGTGTCCCTTTAACATACTCCCATCATTGTGGTTTTTCTCTTTTTTTAGCACTTCCTTATTTTCTGGTACTACTTGTATGTTTCTGTCTCTC